AGCGCCGAAGCCCGAGCCCGAATTCCAAGAAATGACGTAGCGTCGTAAACACCTCGGTCGAAAACAATCTATTGTACCGAATTAGTCGTCGCGGCAGAGTCGAGCGAGGCGGATGTTCCGCGCGTGTCTTCGCGTCGCTTCTCGCGATCATTTTCCGCGAGAATTTCGATCATCTTTTAAGCAACGCGATCGTCTCCCGCGAGAATTAATAATTTATCAATGGCGTTTGAGTAAATGTCGCGATCCGTAATCAATATTGTTGATTCTTACGGCGATTTATATCGAGATAAATATTACGCGTAGAAATTCTATAAGGAAACTACACATAGAAATTATTATTAGTAAGTTTCGATGCGTCCACGGCGATAATATCTTTTTCAATAATCGAGCTCGAGCGAATCTCTCTCACGTCGCGCTTTGAAATTTTTCTCGGTTCAAGTTAAACATTTTATCGCTTTCAGATGAAAAGCGCAAAACGACACACGAGTCGCCGGGTAAAGTGACGACAACAAATTACAATATATCGATCGCTTGCCAAGAAACAATCTCGTTTAAATGATCGAAATAAAGACTCTCTAAAGCGATCGCAGGGACCAACCCTTACCGAGGCAGAATAATAGCCGTTTTATCCGTGAAAATCAACGGAGCAGATACGGCGTATCTTTCAGTATTCGTTAAAATTGTTTTTATGTTTTGTACACCCGCGCGTCGCTCGGCAGTTGTTTTTACGTCGAGCCGCCGCGCCGCCGTTGACCGCCGCTCGGTCAGGGGTCGTTCGCGCTTCGCATTACCGTTCGAGCCGCCGGGACGTGCGCCACGGGGCGACGTGCGCGATCGTTTTCCGCGTAGTTAATCGACGCCACGGCCACGCGATCGGGCTGATCGATTCCGCGAGTGCCGCGGGACGTAGTTTTCGTTCCTCGGAAGTGAGTAACGTACCTGTTTCGCTGTTCTCGAGCTACAACGGCGTCGTTGACGCGACTCGCGTAGTGTCGCCGCGGTAGCGTCGCGCAGTGGCTGCCGGGAAACGGCTCCATGTTGATCCACTCGAGGGGCGCCGTGGGACACGCAGTGAATCGGTCCCGTGCCGATGGTCGTTCGCGTTTCACGGATTTGCACGCACAATCGCGGTGAGCTTACTATCGTGCAGTTGAACAGTCGCGCGACGTAAACTCGACCCCCGAGCGTCTCCGCGAGTCCTTCCCCACCGGAACGTTCCGCGTCGTCGTTTGGCGCGAAGCCGTCTCGCCAGATTCCGCTCGTATTTTCGCCGGGAGTGCCGTGTCGTGCGTTACTTCGGCGTTATTCTTTCGCGAGTGTCGCGTTGTGCCAGTGCCAAGTGGAGAAGTCTGAGAGGAGGCGGCGGCTTAGGAGGCATCGGGCAACGGCGGAGCAACTCTGTGGTGAGTACGGCTGTTTGTGCATTGGTCTCGCGTTGACGTTCACCTCGCGGGATTGTTTCACTCCGTCGTTCCGTGTGCTCGACTCCCCAGTGAGAAATGATTCGTCGATCGACGTCGAAATGACGTCGAATCGACGTCAATTCGACGGTGTCGATGTCGATTCGACGTCGTTTCGCAACGAATTATTGGCGTGCGAACTCGCCGGACGATTTGTACGCATGTCCCCTATTATGAGACAAGTTTCTAATACGAGAAAGCAGGATTTCGGTTAAATTAACAAGCACCATCGGTTGGTTTCACCGTGAGTTTATTGCTCCCCTGGTGAAAATAGAATTCGGAGCGTAAATCGAACGTAAGAGGAGAGTAACGGAAGCGTAAACGAAATGTGTAGGAAACGCAATTTGGAACAGCGAAGAGGCGTTTGAGGTTTCTTTTACGCTTCGCTGTTCCAAATTACGCTTCCTACACATTTCGTTTACGCTTGTGTCACTCTTCCCTTACGTTCAATTTACGCTCCAATTTTTATTCTCATCAGGGTCTTGAACGTGAAATCTGTTTAGCGGAAAATTGACTGTTAGATCGTGTAATCGTCGCGAAACAAGATTTGTGATTGAATTTCAACGTTGAACACCTGCTATCTCGCATTAAAAGCCTATCTCATAATAGGGGACTCTCCTTTCTAAATCGTGGGCACTCGTAATAATCTCGTGATCTCTGAATTATGGCGGGCGAGAGCGAGTCTCATTGCGAGCCCTCGGAAATATGCATGTTATATCAATTATCTGTTTCATACTAATTGATTTATTTATTTTTCTAATTTCAGCACCAATTTTGAGGATCATCGCTACGGACTATCAGTTTCCGTTATCGTATCGTTGTCCATCTAAACGAACCGCAGCCGGTTCGTCGTGTCGTGTCGCGTTCGGGAGTGCCGGTTAAAGTAATTACACTAAAGACATGTGTCAAAGCCCATTTGAAAAATAAGTAGTCCTGTCGGTGGCCACACTTGACGGGACTGAATATTTTCAAATGGGCTTTGTAAACGGGAGTGTATAGTATCGCGCGAAAAAAAATGTACTTTTCTTACGCGTTCGCGAGTGTTGATGGAGTCTCATGGGAGGAGAAGACAACCTGAGTGGAGGAGCAGGCCCGGGAAAGGCATCAGGCACCGGCGGAGCAACTTTGGGGTAATTATTTTACTTTATTTCGTACAAAATTAATCTCTTTTCCAGTTTATTATATTGAGCTGTTGTACATCGTAATTCCATATAATTTTTAATAATTAAAAATAATAATTAAAAACAGGAAGAAATTTAAAATTTGATAAAAATTTATTCCTATGAAGGTCTTTTGTAGAAAATCTTGCGCGATGTAACTTTTTACACATCTAATTGAATAAAACGTTCGACGCGTGTAAAAATTTTGCAGTGCTGATTTTGTTGAACACTGTTCTAATATAAATTTTTTATTTTTATGTTACAGAATCAACTAGCTACGTTGCAGATATAACTCCGCTGTTGCGCATCGGATCGGTGAGTGAGGTTTTTATTTATAAAGGTAACGAATCTACAACTTGTAGATGGTAGATAGTAGAACATAGAACGTAGAACGTAGATTACTTTCTGTAGATTCGTTACCACGAAGTGGATAGATTACAAATAATTTTATATTTTGTCCTTGATATTCAATGAATTCTTGAATTGTTTTCACTAGTTTAATTTCATAGAGCTTTTAAATCAAAGTATGTTGAGCTCATTTTTTATGTTGAGAATCATTGTACTACATTACAGAAATTACGCAAAATAAGACGAATCATTTATTGATGTATTCGTCGAGCTAATCACTTATAATCTATCCATTTTCGAACAATATATTGATATGTGAAGTAAAATAATAATGTATGACGTGAGATTCTAAATATTTTCGAAATAAACTCATGATGTTTCGTAGAACATAAGTGTATTCTACTTGATAAGGACCTGTAATTTGGTCGAAACGTTGTTTTTGTTAATAAATTAATTTCTTGCTGGGTTGGTCGACTATAAGTTTGCAACTTATTGTCATTCATTACCGGCGACAATGAGCACCATTACATTCTAAATATTTTGTCGAGATTGCTGAAACATTGCAAATTATTGTTTTGCATTATTGGCGTTTATCGATTATCTATAATATCTAATTACAATACCAGTACTTATCGTGCGGGAAGGTTCTTTAATTCTGGGATCTCACGTCATTTATTCGATATGTCTTTCGCAATACTTTCGAGATGCGTCTTGCATGAACAACATGCATAATCATACGCATCTTCACACATTCGCGATCGGTTTTCGCGATCGAGTTTCACGATCGGTTTTTAAAAACATTTTCAAGATATTAGTACTTTTTTAAATTTTATTCATATTAGAAATGTTAATTTATCGCGGAATATAATTAAAATTAATGTAACGCGAAGTAAAATTTTTTCTGTATCTATACTTAAATTTTGAATTATCAATTTCGAAGATTGAGAAGAAACGGTCAGTACTCTCGAGTGAATAACGAAAGTAGATATATATTTAGTTAGTTTAATGCAGTTTTTTCGAATTAAAATTCTTTTGTAATTAACTTCTCGTAGTCGTGTATTTTTCGATACGATCGACGCTCATATAATTCGAATCGTAATATCTGTCGGTGACGATAACAAACCGACAATGGAAGGAGTTTTCTTCCTTCCTGATCTCTGGTCAAAATGACCAGACTGTATGGCCAGGAGCAACGAAAGGTAGGTCCAATCTGGCCCAACGAAGATGACCTACGGCGAGTGGTCAATATTGACCACTGTGATGGAGTATGTAAGGCGATGTACAAAATAAGTGCATTCCTTTCATTTGTTAAACTTTGGGTGGGTTATTCTTCTTTATATGTATATTCTCGCATATACGCGAGATTGAAATCTCAATTAAAATCCCACGCGCGTGTTAAACTCCTAATCGAATCCCTGAAAAATCACGCGTGTTTACACTCCAAATTAGGCCCCAAAATTCCGTCGTAATTAATTAAAACTTTGTAGGTTCATGATATTGAAATACGGATAGGTAGAAAATGGATAAGTAGGACTATAGTTGGAAATACGGGTAGGTAGGAATAGCGGAAGATAGGGGTTCGGGTAGGCAGGAATACAGGGGGGCATAATTCGATAGTTTAAAAGATTAGACAACATAGTTCGACAAATTGAGAATAATTTTAATGTCATAATAATAAATGTATTTATATTTATTATTATTGTATTTTTAATTACTCAATTAAATTATACTAAACCAATTATTAAACTAGGAATAAAATATAGAAACTATAAAATAAAATAAACCTTAGTAATACATCATATTTTATTATATAATTGTTGTGTATTTATTACAAACTGTATAATAATAATTGCATTTTGTGAAAATGTTTAAATGTAATCAATTATGTAATCGGATGCGTATAATAAGACGGGTATTATTATACATACATATGTATGTATATGCGTATTATTTAGTAATTATTTACTTTAAAATATTAGTAGTTTGTATTTATTAGAAGTGCGTTAATAAATTCGGGCAGTCTTTCATTTAAAATTTCGTATTAAAAATTATCATTTTACGTGAGTAATGCAAACTGTTCAATAAAAGTTTGATTTTCTGTGGTAAGACAATGATTATTTAAGAATCTTATTCTTTAAAAATTGTTTACATTGCAAGAATTTTGTGTTATTATACGCATACCGAATGTTTGATATCTAATTTCAAAGGAAATGTTATACATACAGAGTGAATCAGACATAGACATAGAAGATCTTCTATGCGCTATAGAATCAGAGCAGTTGTTACAACTCTTTACCATAGGAGATGAATTACCGACCGCTACTGTAGCCAAACCTAGAAAAAATGGAAAAAATCTCGTTATATGCGTCTCAATCATGTAATATCTACTTATATTTCTCGAGATACAATTAGATATTACATTATTCAGACATGTATAACGTGATTTTTTCCATTTTTTCCAGGTTTGGCTACAGTTGCGGTCGGTAATTCATCTCCTATGGTAAAAAGTTGTAACATCTGCTCTGATTCACCCTGTATGTGTAATATTGTATTGTATAATTAATATTTTTTATAATATTGTATACATTGTAAAATAGATTGTAAGAAAAATGAAATAAATAATAAAAATGTAATAAATTAAATTGTAAAGAAAAGAGGATCGAAAAAGAGCCGATCGAAATCGGTAGGAGTGGTGGAGGGCCTTTATAGATAAATTTGTTTTCATCGAATAAAACTTCAGTTCAATTGGATTCACATAGCCTTTTAATCGCTAGATTTTTGTTTGCAATTGGTCGATAGATTTGCCTTTACAATTTGATTTTCGTTTACACATTAATAAAAAGTGTTACACAGTAGGCACTGCTACATGTGTAACATTGTTTTGTTAATGTTTTACATTGTAAGAGTTATGTATTATTGTATGCATATTACATGTTCATATGTAATTTTATGTCATGAAGGAATATTGTACACGGAGAGAATTTTCTCTTAAAATTTATCGTGAAAATCATGTAATCGTGGGACAACATTGCATTGTGAAGAACTTTATAAGAGTTTTTTGAAATTTTACCGTATATTTTACTAATAATTATACTTGGTACACATTTTATTAGTAAAATGTATGGTAAAATTTAAAAAAGTCATAAAATTCTTCGAAATGCCATGTCGTCCCACGATTACGTAATTTCCAGGATAAATTTTAAGAGAAAATTTTCTCCGTGTATTGTACATATTTTTATTCATATTATATTTTTAATTTCAGTATATCATGTTTAAATTTCAGTATAGTAACCTACTCTCTCTCTCTTTTATATTTTTGTACATATATTGCAAATTAAATGGTAAGAAATATCAAGCCCTTATCTCAATTAACTTTTAATTGGAATTAGATTTTCTACACCACATTTTCACGCGTTCTTTAATGCACTCACGCTCTATCAGTCTATTTGTAGGCAATACATCCATGCGGGGCGACCCGGGCGACATCGCTGGCAGTCGTGGACACGGTCGCCTCGGCAACTGCCATCAATTCCGTAAACAAAAGCACGCATTGTCGTGCCGAGGGTCGCGCGAAAAAAAGAATTTCCTCGACCGGGGGTCGCCCGCCCGATGTACGAAGATGTGAATGCACCGGTTCGCACTTCTCTTCGCGTTCGCCCGAGAGACTCACCCACGTGCGAGGACTCACCCTCGTCCTGGGACCGCGTCCTCTGCGACTCGAGTGCTCCGTCGACGCTGCCGCAACGATGTCGGGGAAAAAGGCCGCGGAGAAGGTCTCCGAGATTGACGCGCACATCAGCAAGCAGTACGATATCGTGCGACGTCTCGGCAAAGGGGTAATCACATTATTCTCCCCCGTTCATTCGCGTGTGAAAAAAAATTTTACGGATAAACGAGCTCGATCGCGAATTCATCTTTTTTTTCATGATGTGTGATTCATTGTAAAATGTGTTGCTCCAAGTTGTTACACGTGCCAAAAGTTAGACTGTATTTTATCATACTTTTATTTGCACCGTATTACTCATTAATATGTAAAGTACAGGAGAAATATGATGTTGAGAAAGCATCAAATTTTTAACTCTGGACAAAATAGACGGTAAACGAACTCTGAATAATTCGATATACGTCTCTTGGTGTTTTGGAGTTTTCTGTGACGAATTTCTTCTGTTATTTTGTCAAAATTATTTTATAATTGTCTTACAGTTCTTTGACCAACAATCTTTTTTCCATTATTTTAGACTGTTTTTGTTGTTAATCTATTTCAACTAAATGTTTAAAAAATATTGTTATCACTATCACTAATAAAAAAATACTAGCATGTGTATAGCACACCTATATTATAGCACAGAAATAGATCGTAACTTCTGCTATGTAAATGTTTTCTAAGTTTTGAGAATATCAATAATCCGTTTCGCCAAGAAGAGTAAAGTTGGAGACAATCAATAACGTCGCCGTCGCAACGACGGCAAACGGATTATGGTACCGCAAGGCAATTTTTGTTGAACTTCTATTTACATAATGTGTATCTGATGACAGGTTGTGAGGCGCACCCGTTCATACTGTGATAATGCAAATTGGATATTTATGCAATATTTATGCATGGCGCTATTTCTTACCCTTATGACGCAATCGATATAATTAAAATTGGAAACGTGCAAGATATGCGAGACTGAAAATTGTGACTTGTGTAAAACAGTTGCCTGTACAATTTATGTTGACATTAATGCACATTTGCTTGAATGTTGTTAAAAAATTATAAAGTCATGGTTTTGATAGAAATACACGGAGTTCTTAAAAATTTCCCCGTTTTCTTTCTAGATTCTCTGTAATAATAGTAGTATTATTTAATTCGTGTCGCCTTGTAGGCTTATGGTATAGTATGGAAGGCGATCGAGAAGAAGAGGAAGGACACCGTCGCGGTGAAGAAGATCTTCGACGCCTTCAGAAATCAGACGGACGCGCAGCGTACGTTCCGCGAGATTATGTTCTTACTGTCGTTCGCCAATCACGAGAACATTATAAAGCTGATCGGGCTGCACAAGGCGGACAACGACCGGGACATTTACCTCGTTTTCGAGTACATGGGTGAGTTTTACCCGGTCCGAAGAAGAATTCGCACACAATACGCACACGAAGGTCACGCCATGTGCGCCGATTCTCAGACTTTTGGCCTGAAACACGTTTCGGCCCGTTTCCCCAGAAACCGATCTTCACAACGTCATCAAGCGGGGCAACATCCTCAAGGACATCCACAAGGTCTTCATTATGTACCAACTTTTTAAGGCGATCAAGTACATACACTCGGGAAACGTTATCCACCGAGACTTGAAGGTGATGCTGAGCCCTGTAATCTGAAAGCGCTTAAAAAGTCTTGTAATTCTTCGATTGCTTAAAAAAGAAACAAACATTTCTAGAAAACTTTAGACCATAATCTTAGTTCTCAGTTTTTCCTGACTCACGTAAATGCGCAGGATACTTTTTTGTATATACATTTGAGGTGAAAAAGACAATTTATTCAAGTTCCTTTAGTTCTTGTTCCAAGTAGCACAGGCAATTGTTAAACTCGGAAAAGATTCGCTTCTTAAAATTCTTTATAAATTAACGTAATCTGTTCAAAATGAATTCCAAAGGATGAAAACAAAAGAGAAGTTATTCTATAATTCGGGAATTTAAAAGGAATTTTCTTTTCTTTTCTGCCTGGGGTGTCTATTTCATATCAACTGTTCAGTGTATTCCATTTATTCGTGGCGGAGAAACACGCCGTCCTATTATGTCGAGTTTGCGCTATTCTTTTATTGCAGCCGTCCAACATACTTCTGAACGCGCAATGCCATTGCAAAATCGCGGACTTCGGTTTGGCACGCTCGGTTACGCAAATCGGTGAGGGTGACGGTGAGGCGGGTAGTGATCCAACTCTGACGGACTACGTCGCCACTCGATGGTATCGCGCCCCCGAAATTCTCATTGCTTCAAAAAGGTACACGTTTATTTAATTAAGCTGGGACACCGTTATGAAACGTCGTATTTCAACTGGAATCGTAATAGAATTGAAATATTAAGACGGGAAACTCGTATTCATTTATTTGTTTAATACAGCGTTTCGAGCCGTATTTTTATGATTCGACTCTGTCTTATGTGACGACGATGGCTCACTTAGTATTATTTGATCAGAGAGTAGGGTCGAAACGTATTAAACAAATAAATGAAAAAATACAATTTATCTATAACAATTCATTCAGAGTTTTAATATTATAAAATGTATTGTCGCTTATTTTTGTATTACAAACGCGTGGACTTCAATGTCTCTTGATTCGATCGTCTACGACAATATGAATATTTTCAGGTACACAAAGGGGATAGACATGTGGTCCTTAGGCTGCATTCTCGGCGAAATGCTGCTTGGGAAGCCACTCTTTCCTGGCTCGTCGACAATAAACCAAGTCGAGAGAATAATGGCAACTTTGCCGCCACCGACGGACGAAGGTAATCTTTTTTTTTTATAACCGTTCTGAAGAGAAAAGGGAGAAAACTAATGTGACTGTATCTATTCGATGATTTTTCAGATCTGATATCAATCAGCGCCGGTTATGGGACAAATTTGTTGGAAAAGATGCCCAACAGACCCAGACGGGCTTTGAAAGAATTATTGCCGGAAGTGTCGGAGAAAGCCTTGGATCTTATCAGCAATTTGATAGTCTTTAACCCCACACAACGGTTTACCGCAGTCGAAGCGCTAGAGCATCCGTACGTCGTCGAGTGAGTGTTTTTATAATAATTTTATAGGGAGTAGGATAGATTTAGAAACAAATTGATTTTGTAAAATTAAATTTGTTGAGGAATTAGTCGTGGATTTCCTTTAATTCTGTAAGTTCACCGGTAGAATTCAAACTTATTTCGTGAAAATTTCGCATTTTGTGTTTATCCATGTCATACTTTATATTTTTATTTGAAAAGTTAAAAAATTTACAGTGAAATTGACATCTAAATTACACTTAAAAGATTAATGAAGATAAAATTATATATTAAATTTCCTTCTCAATAGTTTTCACAAACGGGGAAACGAACCGGAGAGGGGTTCCAGCGTTGTACCGCTATTGAGTGATGATGTGCAGCTCTCGGTCGATGAATATAGAAATAAACTGTACGCGATGATGGATGAAAAGCATCGGAAACATAAAAATATGTAGGCATACTAATTCACGCAGCCAGCAATTATTACTGCAATGGAGATTGTATTGCATTATCAAAATATAATACGAGTCTTTTTCATTGTAAAAAATAATTTTAACAAAATTTGGTACTAACAGAAGTCGAATCAAGTATTTTGTACTAACAGTTTTTCCCCTGCCAACACATTTTTACAGGTCAAAATCCAGACTACGGCGATTGTCTGAAAGCATTAGAAAGGAAACTAGTAAGAGTAATCTAGTGATTGGCCAAGGCGACACAATTGTCGGTGAGAGGAATGTATTATACAAGATTCCTTTATCTTCCGCGACTTGAGTCTATCAATTTTTACTTAATTCTCAAATTATTTTATTTTTAGCGTGCTCGTCATTGCCAAATAAGAAGACAATCAGGCCATCTCAAGATGACAATACTGCGCGCGGTGTTACAAGAACGCAGACGGTGAACAATCCCGTAGAGGTGCCGGCACAGGAGACCTTTACAAATATCCGGCACAATGGTAAGAATAATTTTGCAATAATATCTTCTCAATCGATTTGAAGTTTTGCTGGTAAACATAGAAATTAATTAATTAGTACGCTTGTGAAATCGAAAGTCCAGTTTATCGGGAATCGTTATTCTCAGTGTAAAATTCAGTTTCCAACAAAGTTCAACCACTTGCGTTTGCAATTAACAGTTAGGAACGTGGCGACACAATACGCTTGCAACTTGTCGAACGGAAACGTACCCCCGGCAGCGGCCAAAAGTTGCTTCTACTTTAACCAGCAGCATAATTCGCAGCTGTCGAAGTCCCAGTGTTCCATTCAATCGGATCAGATGTCTATGGTGAGCGTAACATAATATATTTTCATTTACTTGACACTTCCCACGGTTGCTCCGGCGCCTCCCTTCTCAAAAGTCACCTTACGCAGGAGGATAAACGGTAAATTTTGTTATTACAGGCTGCATGTCGTGTGGGATTTTCGTTTAGTAGGTACTGTTACCACCCATTCTATGCGTCACCTAGTAGATTGCGTTCAACTTTAATTTGTGCACGCATTCGACACACACGCACATACGCGCGCTTGGGAACAATTGTTAGCCCCGCCGTAATGGCAAGTGCCGCGTAATTCGGCCAGGTCATTTATTATCTCGATAAGAAAAATAATTAAAAAGTTAATCAATTAAGAATAAAGTAATAAAAGAGATTTTATAAAGTCAACTGCAACTGCGAATCATTTTATTACACAAAATAAAAATGCTGCTGCACTTCTCAATGGCGCGCCATTATCGCGGGGTTAAGCACATCGATAAAAATCCTCCGCAGTCTTCATCGTGTATGTAAAGAATTATTTTTCTGCACTCTTGTCCAACCCGCTGATCGGCATGCATCAAGATCGCAATTGACGCAATTGGTTCACGATCGAAATTCCATCGTGCCCACGGAATTGTTTAAATTTCAGTTCGGAGGCAGATCGAACCAGCAATTAGCAGCAACGGCACAACGCGCCAAGCCACGAAGAGCCTGTAGACAACAAATCATGGCACAGGCACCGAGGTCCTTCGCTTCCACGTCGGCTAATTGCCGTGGCGATGATCGTCGGCCTAAAACGATGCCGGCGAAACTGATCAGGATCAGTGACAGTCCGAACAGTATCAGACAGACCAGCAACGTCACGAGGACCATTGTCAGAACTCGAGACGTCAGGACCGCGGGGGGTGGAGTCGACAGTCCGGAATCGTACGTCAGCTACCATCCACAGGCCATTCAAAACTACCTGAATCAGACGGCGCCGTTGCTGGTGCAGCAGCATTCACGGGCGCGAAATCGCACATTTTGCCGCGGCAGGGACAACCCTGTCGACAGATCGTTCGCCGTTGCGGACGCAGCGACGACCAACAGTCGCGTCAAGAGCGCGGTGCGCGACCAAGGTATACACGCGAAGCACAGCTTCGACGCCGGCCACGTCGTTCAGAGGAGATCGTCGACGATGTGCGACAAGTCGAGATTCCTGAACAGTCACAGCCAGAGTCACGGCGTGATCGCGGAGTCGGTTTACAAGGATCTCTGTAACGGGACTATAGGGTGGTGAGTGTGCGGTTGGTAGAAGATGAATGATCAGATAGTGACGATCGCTTCTCGATGAGACGCGCAAACCAATCGTGCACGCGAGTTCTTTTCAGCGAGAATCTTTCTCGGGACGATGCGGCCGAGCACCTCGAAGTTCGCAGGCGGAATTTTCTCAACTTAGGTCGATGCGGACACTAAACATGCAATACTTTTACAGAGTATCACACTAATGTGCATTTCTTTTAAATCCATTTTGTAATTACATGTATAACTCGCATGTGATTGGCAGTTTTTTAATACATCCGTCTTGTAGTTTACTGCAATGCAAACATCTTGTAGCGATTACATAATTTATACTTGATAGACAATTTTTTTTTATATATATTCGTGTTATAGCTTGCTGCAATGCAAACGATAACTTACAAAAGAAAAACTGAAAGAAAATTTTTGTTAAAGATTCCAGGATAAGAAATAGACGGTCGTTGTAGATTACCCCAAAGTTCGCTTATTCATTCTTGTGCAGGAAGCGAGTTGCCTCACGCGAATGATACAAGGTTCCTGAGTAAATAAACAAATTTTACACCAAGTAAACGCTATCAATATTTTGGCTTTCGAGTTCCCACGGGAAGAACCGGGATGTCAGTCACAATCGACTTTACAAACATCGGACTTTGTAAGCGGGTATGATTGTTGAGATTACTATGACTACCTCATATTACGATTACATTTTATACCATATAGAGATATCGAAGAGGCAAGTGGGAGATGAGCGTGATGTCTCCTTTTTTTCTACAATGAAAATGCAATAAGCGAAATTATATATAAGAAACCGAGAATGTCTTTTGATGGCAAGGGAAGTACACGTCAACTTCGACAAACAGCGGAAACGAAGTAAAGGATGAAAATTGCACGGGGACTGCAGAGATCGTCCCGTGGGAATACGAAGAAGAACGTAGGAGCTTAGGACGTAAGCGATGCGACTCATGTGGGGCCATACAGCGGAGCATACATATTTTTCTATGATATTTTATTTATATGGACTATATGGACACGTACGCGACACACACGCATACACACATACTCGCACGCACACTAGCAGGTATCCGTCATCGATTACAAGTGTATAAATCTCATTGTATCATACATTGTGTCGTAATGTCTTTGTGCGGCGGAGATCGACAGCGCTCGGACTCGTTGCGTGCTATACATATTGTGAGAATAAAGTTTTAATAAAAAAAAGGGAGAGAAATCCTTTTCTTTATTAGGTGGAAAACAATTGATAGCTGACAAATATTCATCCCCGGAAGTAAAACCAGTAGGAGCAGTTACAGACGTCGCCCGTAGCACATAAGGTGGTCGACTCCGACCGGCTGGTCTTCAATTCATTTGTGTCTTCACTCTGGGAAGCAATTGATAGCTGACAAACTCATCCCCGGAAGTAGCAGACTAGCAGTTACAGATATCGTCCGTCCATAGTGCATAAGGTGATCGATTCTGGCTGGTTGGTCTTCAGTTCATTTATGTCTTTACTCTGCTGCTGATCCTTTTTAACGTCATTTTTCAGTGGCTCGATCTGCTCGCTCAGATGATACGTCTTTTTCAGCTCGATGTCTCGATGTTGATGCGGTCTGTTGATGTTGTTTCTAAATGATACAAGCCATTTTCGTCGTAGAATAGCGTGTTTGCGCGTTCTAGGTACTCTTCGCAAGTATATCGGAATGTGCTGCACGTTATCGTCGGCGATCGTCATTGCGTTCTGCAACATTATGAAAGGAGCGATTCTCATACAATTTTTGTCACGACACGAGCAAGTGTAATCGAATCTTATATCTAATCTGGAATACGTGTCAGACAGTATTTTAAAAAAAAGTTTTTTGACAGTGCGTCTGTAGAAGAAATAGGGTGAGTAAATTATTTAGAAAGGTACATGAAATAAATTCTGAAATATTTATAGTAACAATAGAGTAAGACGAGGAAATAATGTTAACGTTAACAGAAAATATAAAAATTTTCCAAGTCCAAAATATGACAAATATTATTTATGGATTTATTACTAAGGAATATTATTAGTGAGTAATTTAGTAGAGAAGCGTGTCGCTATATAAAATTACAATATTATGTTAATTATTATTATTAATTATTATTAAACACGCCTCTTCAATGCAAATTATAATTTTGTGTAATTAAGCGTTTATCTCTAGAGAATTTATAGTAAATTGTGATATATTTATTAAAAGATACGTATATATAATTGACTTACTCTTCTGGAGGGATTATGGTGCGATATATCACTAGAGACGCAATGTAAAACTTTGGCGAGATTTTGGCGAAAACCTCGCGTCATCCAGCAGTAGACCACGGGGTTTAGAGTGCTGTTTGCATGTCCCAGAAACAGGAAGTATTTCAACGTGTTGCCGTTCGATATCGTTATATCTGCGAGCATAGGAAATTGGTTAAAATAAATTAGTACGAATTATTTAACATTTAACATTTATTACGTCTTATCGCAATATGGAAAAGGCTGTATAGTCTTATTGTTGAACACTCATTACAAAATTCACTGTAGTTAGGAAGTGGAAGTGTGTCGAGTACTCGTGATTGAAATATTTAGGCTACAAAATGTTATCTTGAGAAAATAGTAACTGCTTACCGATAACGTTGAGATCGATCAAACACTTGACAATGTTATACGGCAGCCAGCACAGAGCGAAGAGTATGGCAAGGAATAGTAATATCAAGGCAACTCGTTTTCTGTCATGTCGCAATCTGAAGCCCTATGAACACATCAGCGCGCTTATTAAATTATTTAGAACGGAATTTATCGCAGACCTAATGGATCCCGCAAGGGTTTAGTACACTGAGCACTAAATAAGTTCCAAATTATCGGAATATACGTACGATACTGTCGTTTTTATTTTCACTTTTTATTTATCAATACATCAATTAATTGGAAATGTAAGGAAAAAATGTATTGACTCGAGCGTTTTAGGAAAATTCTAGAAAATAATTGCAAATTTAATTACTAAATTAAAAAAAAATTTATATTGAATTGACCTGTCGCGAACTGGCACTTTCCCTGTTATCGCAGTCAAAGGGTGGCCTCCTGGACCAAAGAGTGAAGCCAATCATCGAGTAGGCCAGAAATACAACGAGACCTAAACACATAATGTGAAAACGAGTGAAGGAAAGGAAGGTGTAAACAAAGACAGATAATTCTGTAAAATACGGATTTCGCGTGTTCATGCAAGAATAAACGTATGAGAATCATCCAAAAAAATAATGTAGGCTACTCTTGTTTAGTTATTAGCACGTGGATAATGAGTTAATTCCACTTTAATTGCTTTTATTTACGAAGGCATTGTGTATAGAAACGACTGAAACGGAAGACGCATAAACAAGCGCATGTATGTGTAGTTAAATTTAAATTTAGATTTTAAATTAAGATTTATGTATACAAGCGATATGTATGTTACGTGAAAATGTACGATGGAAGTTCTCAACAACCCTTACGGAAATGTATACACTGAAAACGAAGGAAGCACTGAATAATTACTAGAATTCAGCAATTGAATCATTAGAAATTACTGACGCACAATATAATTTTCTAGTAATTATTTGTAAGTAAATAATTATTTCGCTTACATTTCCGTAAGGGGAGGATACTAGAGGGACAATAAAGTACATTTAACTATAAATTTACATGGAATAGCGGTGGAGAATAGGAAATGCACGCTCCCAAAAATGTCTCGTCGGATTCCTAGGGGCGCGAAATCCTCCGTACACATGTAGAAGTCTGGTGGTGTCGGGTAGATGGTATTGGGCGAGAAATTCTCATTTGCCATCATCAAGTCAAAAGTCTTATTGATGAGATCCGCCATCGGGTTGTGGAATCTCATCTGCGGATAAGGGACGAAACTCATAATAGCGGCGGCAAGTATTAATGTAATCATTCTCATCAATTAAATCGATTGGAACAGAAAGGGTATGATGTGACAAACTCATAGACATATTTGTGAAAAACAAAGAAGCTTATAAGCATAACAGGAATTTTTCAGTATTTCATGGTACTTTGCTCTGAAAAGAAACTCCCTGAAGTATTGATTCCAAAATTTTTTTGACATTTCAGTTTTACTTGAATAATATTACTTGAATAAATGAAAAAGTTTTACTAGAATAAGGACATATTGTTAACTCAATTTCGGCCTACGTGTCCTTTAATTCTTGTTCTTACCGGTTCGATTAGTTTCGACAGTTCGTCATTAATCAGCACAATAAATTGATGCCAATTTAGACTTACCGCTTCGTAGATCGTAATAAAGAAAGCCAAGGACGTCACCCAAATAGTTACGATAACGAGAATGATATTCCTATGATTACATACACAGCGAAGAATCATGGGATTCCTTATAGCCAGGTATCTATCGATGCTCATAGCCATAATAGTGTATATCGAAGCGGTAACGCTCACACCTGTTGCAAACACAATTATGCGGTTGACAAATTTATATATGTGACGTAGGAAAAATATACAATATATTATCTATGTGCATTTTGATGTCACGTATATATAATTTTCCATTTTAATCGAGTAATTATTTTGGTTTACAATATATAGATAGCTTAAAATAATATAGAAAATATTACGAGTTGCGAGTCATCGATATCTTTACAATATTATCGAATAATATGAAATAAATTGATGGGGAGAAGAAGGCCAATGCGAGCCAAACGCAGGTATTCATGCAAAAATGTCCAATATGGAACTTTTTATTAAATTCATAAATTAATCATTAAACGTTTCGACCTATCTTCGGGTTTAGTGAGACAAAATTAAATCTAATAAACTGAAAAAAACAAAAATTAAATAAAATACGTGCAAATAATAATATTTGAAATGCAATTAGATTGAATCATTGTAAAAATACGTACTTTGAAGGTAAGACGTCAGTTTACATAAGAATTCACTGTAATTCCATGATGACGATATTTCGTGGCTGATCGTCATCGGCATACATATTGTGGCAACCAACAAATCAGCCACGGATAGATTAATCACAAAATAATTTGTAACGCTGCAAAAACATTGTGTCTTTATTTTCACATATAAACAGAGCTCTCTTTCTTTCTCGAGCTCTCTCTCTCTCGTGCGGTTTATTTAAATATTTATAAATTTATGTTAAATATACATTAATAAATTTGAAGAATAAGATATTTCCTATTATAATAATATTAATAAAATAATTATCTGTTGCTAAACTTAAAGAAATGAATTAATTCATTACATAAAAAAAAGATAATAGACTTAGGCTCGGTTGCACCAATATCATGTAACTTTAACTTTAGCTTAACTCACTTTTCGTCCCTTTAACTTTTCCAAAAGTTTATTAAACATATATTTTTCGATAACAGTTAAATTGGTGCAATTTGTTTGAGTGAACGGCGTTAGAATCCTCGAAACTATATTCGTGCTGGATTCGGTAGAAACATTAATCGTCAAGCTGCAGCTTGAAGGAGATGCGGATTATTGCTCTAATGAAAAATATATATGTTTTGGCGCAGAGCTCGTAACTGCTCAGGTATTTCACGTGGCTGCATATATCCGTCGGTCGCTTATTTCCGGATTATATACGCGGCGTAGCACCGTATCATGCAAATAAACCATCCGCGATGCATTCATAATGGACGAACGTATGTAGCAGCTGCCGGTAGTAGCTCTCCGATTATTTTTCATCCAGAAATTCACGCTCCCACGCGAGAAGTACCCAGGAAGTCGCATACACAGTAAGATCACAATGAGCCATCGGGGAAACTATCTCGCGTTGTCTGCTTTTCAATTTTGTTACCTGATAGAATCGGTTACCGGCACTGTATTGCTTACTTCGGAGATTTCAATGCAAATTTAGTCCCCGACGTGATAAAACATTCCTAACGCAGGTGATTGATGCCGCTCTTTGTTTCATTTGTATTTCAAAAGATTCGAAAAACCGCAGCAACGAGAAAGTCCGCCAAAAAGTGCAACCCAGCGCAATATAACTCAATAAAAAATATAAAACTTTAAAAGAGAGAGAGACGCGGACGCTAATTTCGCGCTCTTCTTCGTCTTTTCACTCATAACATCAGGCATTAGGTGATTTGTAATCAGCACACTCTGAACTTAATGAAGAACGCCGCACACACGCGGCATATTACATACCTCTTTAAATGAAACTTGCAGACCATTATGATCACAAAAATGTTTGCTATCACGCCGACGAATACGGTCGGTGCATAAAGAACAATCAACAGGTAGTCCTTGTCGCTTCCGTGAAAGTAATCGTAAAACTCCCACAGTATCTCGATCATCTTCGACGTGGTATTGTTCGCCGTCATTGTGAGCCTCGTGCGCTCTTATTATACGACCAGATTCCGAATGAATATTAAAGTATAAGAAAGTAACAGCGGTAGCCTCAAATAATCGAGATCGTTTCACGATAGAAGTTGGAATTTTTGCGACGCGAGCCTCGACTCGAGTGGCAGAAACCCGCTTCAACGACTTTTTTTTCCCGAAGAACAAGTTTTCACGGCAATATCGCGGGCTCGTCACGGCGGTAGCGACATACAGGCCGGGATTTTTTTTTACAATTGCGCACAATGCGGTCAAACTTTTTCGCAGTTTCGACACTTCACGTTAACAGAATGTCTTTTATTGGCCTCGAGCTTGACGCGAGGATAAGCATTCGCGGTGGTAGCACTTGGTGTGCCCGCACTACCCGCCCGGGGTCGCAGCATCAGTTCGAATCGTGGTCGGAGCGGACGCACGGACGAGACTGTCTTTAGCGGCAGTCTTTATTTCCTTTGGGCGCTTGTGTAGAAATTCCCGCGGTGCTCGTATCCGACAGTGTACGTACAATTATGTCGGGCCAGTATTTGAGAGACACTGCTGAAGTTCGGTTTTATAAACGCCTCCTTTCATCAACTCCACGGTTTTTTTTCATATTTGCTAATAAAAAAAATTATAAAAGAATATTGTAAAAAGAATAAATTGGAATGAAAGCTTAAGAAGTTAAAGCAGCTGACATCTTGCAATATACATGTTATGACTGTTGTTTATTATAAATAAGTTGGCAGATGCAAATTGTTCTAAATGTAAATATTTTAATATTTTTTGTTTATAGCTAATGAAACATAATACTTAATTGTCTATGTAGAATTTTGCCTAAATTGAAATAATCTTCTTTCTAAATATATAATTATAAAATTTTTCCAATCCGCAAGTTCTCGTTTTCCTACGAAATTAACTTCTTTTGTGAAATAACGTACTCTGCACAATATAAGAAACGTTACCTTTCTTTCTCTATAAGTTTTCCACACATGTATTATATTTTTTATACACAACAAAGAATCTGCCTTTTTATTCGTTTTATCAAAAGCAATCGTATGTCGCGAGGCTATCGATTTTGATGATCAATCTCGAAATAGATTCTTTACCTCGACATAAATTTCAAACAGATGCGCGCAGCACGATTGACCCACACCGTTGTAAGCTGATACGTAAACGGTAATACGTAAACAATCTAATACAATGTCGTTGATTATCATTAAAATCTCGAACGTGTAAACGGTGTAAGTAGAAATGTAATGTGTTACATGAGCGACAGACTTAGACCAGTATCGCCGAAATACGTGACACTGTGCGTCACGATATTCGGTAAGAAAGCGTTAATAAAACTACAAAGGAACATTCCGAATACAAATGCAAATGGCTCGTGATCTTTTCTCGACTAACGTTAGATATGCGTGTAGATAATTCTGTCGCGTCCACAATTTGGACTATTTCCAAAACATTTGCGCAAAATTATGATTATCTTCTTTATGCATACCGCTTGAAATAATGTCTTTCGTTGTTGGTTTAATCACAATCCAGTAATCGAGAGAATATATCTGTCAAAAATCAGCGCAATTTTTACTTGTTAATTACAAACATAAAGATGTCGCATATTTGAAATCTTTATTTCAGCATAATTTAGGGCAAACTTTAATTAATTAGCGAGTTATCCGCAAATTTATTTACTCGAAATGTTGCTTTCTCGTGCAACATTTTAATTCTGGAAGAATGTAGAAAGGTGATTTTAGATATTGTGTAGAAAGTATCTGAAGAAGAAAAAGGAAGGGAAATAAAACAATGCGTCAACACTTTTTCCCTGTATTATCTGTTCCACAGATAACAATTCGTTACTTTATTGCCTATAAGTATAGATTAACATTTGGTTCCAGTCTTCGTCGTCCATAAGATGCAAGCGTTATGAAGAAAATTAAATGTGATAATATGCTGCATCGTGCTTACGCACGTGCTATATTTGGCACGAGAAGAAATTATGTCTTTCATTTACAAATTGCTCAGTTTTGCATTTTGAATGTTCATGCAAATAAAGTGATAATATATCGTCTTATTACTGCGCAGAAGTAGAGCGCGAGAAGTTGAAAGGAACGTTTTGTAATTTAAAATATATTGGCAACTTAAAGAAAAAGAGTCCGACTTGAAAATTTGCTCATATACCTGTGCTAATAATCTTAAAAATTATTTTAAAAACAAGATGTGAAAATTCAAGGTTTGCACTTTTTATAAATTGCAAATCAGTATAATGTATTTTGAAGCAATTTCTCTCTCAACCACGTCGCTAAAAACACTGCTTGGATTTAATTTTGCAACTTTCAGCTCGATTTTCAATAGGTCGACTATTATCTCTTGTCCACTCCACTTTCGCGCCCTAACGCCAGCGGAGATACACAACGATAACTTTGTTCAATTTTATTTTTAGAGGCTGAAACGTTCCTTAAAATTAAAACCGATTGTTTTTCTGAGTGAGCCAACGTGGTAAAAGATACGGAAAAAATATTTTAAACAATAATTTTATAGTCTTTAATGTACTTGACAATAATTGTACACTGGAAGATATAATAGGCCGGCACTTCTTCAACATCCATCATCTTTACTCGTCGGTTGTACTGCCGTGTTCGATCTGTAAAAACGCACCGCTTGTAGCGACGACGTGTTCTCTTAATTAACACAAAATGACGAATTTCATGGATACTCTGTTACAAACAAATACCTTATTTCTCACCACGCTTTGTCTGCGTAGTGTGCGATGGTAAAAATTAATCTAAATATCATTTGTATCCCTTTACCTTTTGCAGATCTCCGTGGCTCTTCCCCTCGAGCTAATCCGTAAAGGCGCGAGGAAAGATGAGGATACATTTGATAGAACGATAAACCGATCGATCAAATGCGCGGTTGCAGCGCATTGAGGATCTCTCTGGGACTGTCGCTAAACGTTCGCGGTATGAAGGATCACCAGATACGTAGTTATACCGGAGGCTATCTGTGAAAGTAACGAATGAAAATTGTGAAAACACGAGGAATTTTCGTATCGATGCAGCGACAGATTTAAATGAACGTTCCAAGCACAAACTACAATGTTTCTGGACGATTTCTGGTCTTTTTTTTGGTAGATATCATGTAAAAGTATATCCATATTTTATTTTGTTACCAATATTGATTTACATACTATTTTCTTCGGAACTCACCGAAAGAAGCAATGGAAGATCAATACGTATGATTCCGTGAAAGGCAAAGAAGTGCACTTGCTGTAGTTGGAAGTAAGTCACAGCTTCCATACTACAATCCTGCACAATTATTTAACAATTATCTCTTTTAATTCATATTTAGTAGAAAAGGTTAGCAGTTTAACTCTGAGGCATAGCGTTATATGAAAAAATGTTCCATTTTCTCAAGTACTTGAACGCGTATGGTGGGACGTTATTCATACCACCTTTTTTGTTTAATTGTGAAATTTAATCAATTGGATTAATTATTATGTAATCAATTCAGTTCAATTGATCGGATTGATTCAAATTAAGGATATTAAGCAAAATGGATATTTCGTGAAAGATTAGAATTTGAATAAACAAAATTAACAGAATTTTTTACCTGTGTAAAACTTCTCTTCGACAGAATGGCCGACGACGGTGTGAAAGCGATCTTGCCAACGCGATTAGCCTTTGGAAAAAAAAACAAGGGAAAAAGAGATAAACTCGTCAATCAGAGACTAGATGAGAGATTCTCGAGAATAGATCAACGTACTTGAGTCGCAGTCATGTGACAGGTAATGGTAATGATCAGCAGATTTGTCACGCAAGCAGACACCAATAAAATTTCCCTCACCATCAGCAGGGGTTGCGAGACCGCGCCGTTATCATTGATCGTATAGATGCGTGTAAGTGTATTGAAGGACATACAGGAGATCCACAATAGAAGCTGCAGCGCGTACACGGAGTTTATCATCTCGGTCGCGTTAGTAAGACATGAGTGCAACCACCACACCTCTTGCAAACGGAACTGCTTGCCCGATCGATCCACCACCATAATTTTGCCGTCTGTTTAAACAATGCAACATTGTTGTATGATCATTCACGAGGTGAGTGAAAACGACTTGACTATTGCTTGCTTTTAAAGGGCTATTAATTATGTGCATTAAGTCTTATAATACCTATTGTACGATCTTTTCAAGAGTGCAGTGGTATCGTAGCTTTACTTCATAAACTCCGTTCAAGGATGATTTACTAAATATATGGACAGATTTTTTTTAATATCTCAAGTATATAGCTTTTAAGGATAAGATCTCTTCAGTTTTGCTGGACGTTAATCAAGTTTACTTCCGCGTATTTTATCGAAAGATCTGTTTATTCGCATTTAAAGTGAACGGTAAGTCAATGTCGCTATTTATTTTCCAGAGCTTCGAGCCTCGGTGCTATCCAGTCTTCATCAGTCAAACCGCGTGGGAAAGCAGGCGTGTCGGCACGCAGACAGTTGATAATAATAGATAGACGGCGAGTGTTTTCATAAAATGGGAAAATTGAAGAGAAAACTAGCGAGATAGGATAATTGGGGGGTTCGGTGTTAGAAGATAACAATTTTATGTTATTCATTTTTTAATTTTTTTCTCGGAAAAACTGATAGATTCAGAAAAGTTTGCACGAGCAAATTTGTTTCTTCGGATCCTTGTCTTTTACAACTCCACGATTTTTGTGTGTAAACGACGATTAGCGGCTAGGCATTCTAAGGAGTGCGGAGCTGCAGATTATAAAAAAATTATCAGCAAATTATTAACGCGTCAATAAGCGCAAGAGACATACCATTTTTCGCAATTAATCTACCTTCGGGCAGCAGCAATAATTCACAAAGACGACGGTATCTCTCGTACAGGAGGGACGTCAAGCTGGCGAACGTCATCAGCTGCATCGACAGCGTCGCGTTAACGATAGCGTAAGTTACCCCATTAAACACGGAGTCTTTGGGCTCGACGCTATAAATGACAAAATTGCGAATGACAGCGCGATCGTAATGCGATGGAAAAAAATTAAGATGGATTTAGATCTGCGAAATAACGTCACGATCGCCGACACGATTTCGATGTTTAATACCTTAACTTTCTTATTTATTATCAATTTTATATTTCGCAAATCAGTTACATACGTTTAGAAAGTCCTGTCTAACTATATTTAATATTACATACTGAAATCAGTTGCGTGACGAATAGTCATCGATATTAATATAAATATAAATTTAAAAGAAATTCTATGTAGAATACGAACTTTTTTTTCATATTTTTATGTCAGGCGTCACGTAATTCTTGTCATATCATAATCATATTGTAAAGAAATGCTTAATCAAGAACCGTAATTTTTTTTCTACAATCGCACGTGTACCGTTATAGATATCGTTTTCTTAAATATAAAGGTTATTACAAATTTTAAGGAACAAAGAACTACGTGCCGTGACAGATAATATTTTTTGCGATAAATTAAAAATATTAAACATTTAGACACTAACACCCTGTCGCGGCTCTCAGTCCTGTATTCCTTCCAATTTGTGTTTATCACATTTGAGCCATAGGAATTTTTATTAATTTATAAAAGTTATTAGTACAGGAAAGTCCCCTGCTATGAGATAGGCTCCTAATAAAAGATAATGGGTTTTCAGCAGACAATTTCACAAATCTGCTTTGCAACAATTACTCCAGGGATAATAAATTCATGGCGAAACCAGCAGATGATGCCCAATAATTTAACAGAAGCCCCACTATCTCGTATTAAAGGCCTATCTCATGATAGGGGGCCTCTTGTCTGCTGTAAAAATTAAATTGAAAGAATGCAAGAGCTATGAAACCGCTCAGTACTCACCAGAATGTTATATACCCGACTACCGACCAAAACGACAAAATAACGAAGGCCAATGCCCAGCAGACATGACGTATCCTGTGCCTGGGCTCCTTGTATCTCGTCGCTCGGTCGAAGACGCGCAGATGTGACAGCGCAGCTCGTATCTTCCAGTTATACCAGAATGTCATCGTGATGTCGCTCAAGACGCAGGCATACGAGAGGCCTGTCCTCACCACGGTGAGCGTCAGCAGCCTCGGCCCGAGCACGTCGTCCCAGCGGAGCATGTAAAAATTCGCGCCGCAGAGACCCGCGTACAGGAGCGCAAACAGGGCCGAGTAAATAGCGCCGTACTTCATTATCACGATATCGTCTTCCTTGACGAGGAAAAGTCCACATCCAAACAGTCTCGCGGTATGCAAAAGAGGTCGTACGTCACTTAGAGACCCCATTTCCTACTATCGATCCTGACGTTCGAAAATAAAGGGGAGAAAAAAAATAGAGAACGCTCTGCTCTCCGGAGATACTGCAAGGTCCTCGCCGCGATCTCCGCTGATATTCTTAATTTAAAGCGCTCCCCAGGACAATTCTATTCCTCTTGTACCCCATTTTTTTTTTCTTTAACGAGTCCCTTGAGAACTAGGTGTAGCGCAAAGCTGCAGTGCCGAGCCGGACAAGTGACGCGAAAATAAAAAAAAACATGGGAAAATGCTCTCCTCCGCGACAAGGGGTGCGTTCGGGAGCTCACTATCAGCGCTACTTAGCGCTGAAAGCGTCGTAGCTAAGTAGCTAAGTAGCGCTGATAGTGAGCTCCCGAACGCACCCAAGATTGCAAGATCCTCCGCTTCTCAATTTAAATGTTTCCGAGATCTAGTCTTCTTATTCTCTGCTCCTGCTTTCAATGAAACTCTCGACGGCCGCGCGGAGAGAAGCGCGAAACTCGGCGGTGCCGAGTCAGTCGAGTCATGTAGCGTAACAAAGATTTCTGTGCGTGCAAACAAAATACATCTGTCGCTGCGTCATTGCGTTGCGGGAAAACGATAGCGACGAGAAGATGTACCCAAGCTGCGGTGGGGAAATCTGAGTTACGGCGGTCCGACACTTGGCTTCTTTGAAAGAAGAGTTGTCGGTGCCCGGCGGTTTGCGCGATCGACTTGCGTTCGCCAGGCCCACATGCGAAATGCAAGGCAAACGTAATATGCAGCTCACAAGTTTGTAAATTAAAAGCACAACGAGCGCGTATCCGCACATACGTGTACATTCTCGTGGATGTATACGGGGGTGCGCAGAGGCAAGTTGGAATGTCTCACCGGAATTAGAAGCGGCTCTCATACTGATAACACACGTGTCGCGTCGCGTGCGAGAACGCTCCTAAATTGCAGCACTTCTCCGGTGGTAAGAGGCCGATTTGCCATACGGGGATGGCCCCAAATTATCGGATAATTGCGAAAAACTTGGGGAAAGCTACTCGCGAGGCTGCCTTAAGCGGCGGGCCCGTCCGCTCGAAGCGAAACGTACATACTATTATCGGCAAACTGTAAGTTCTCTTCCACTTAGCTGCTCCGACAGTGATGCCAGTCAGATAAATGGAGAACCCGCCGGGCGCACGACCTTCCCAGCGCTTCACGCCCCGCGATATTAATCTGCCACCATGATAGCAGATAAATATTGCCGTAACGCACGAACAATTAACACGCCTGTCTCGCTGGAGAATTTCACGATGTGACAGACTGACGTTCACCACTGGCCACCCTCTGTCCATCACGACGACAATTCCCGGGGTCGCCGCTGCGACTATCCGCGAGGAAGGGAAAAAAAATCAACACGCGGAGGGTGTCCCGAGCGAGCACGCGCCGCGGCGCCGAGCCGAGCGTCGCGCTCATCCTCGGACATTATGATAATCGCGATTAGATGCTCCTAAATTAACGAGCCACCATGGGAGAAAATTGCACGCGCTCGCGTTGACCGTGAGCGGAGGAGATGGGAGGATAGGCGCGAAGAGCGGCGATAGCCTGAATTACAAATAAGTTACAATCAGCCGGTGCCATCTCTCCTTCCTGTAAAGCGGTGTGAAATTACAGGGAGATTGGCTCTTCTTGTTTTTCTCTACAAAGCGGGGAATCCCGCTACGCGAGCAGCCGTGCGCGAGACACAATTTTGATCGCTGATAAGGTACTTGGCGCGCACACGACGATACGGCAGAGGAGGGTTTTTACCTGTAAAAAAAAAACTATGCAGGCGACATTGTAACTTAATATCGAGGGGTGCGAAACGGAAACTCTCCAACAGGCCACAATGACGTCGCGCAAATAGAAATGTCAGTTATGTTTTCTCCATCTGTGATATACGTGGCGTAAATCAACATTTACATATGAAATGAAAAGTATAGGGCGGCGTGGATCATTAGCGTTTAAAAGCCAATGGAAACGTTTGGTCTACATGTAATATATAATCGTTGAAACGTGAGGACTTATGAAGGAAAGAGAGAAAACGGAAAGAGATCAAACTGCGAATCTGTAACGATGCGACACCTTAATTGCTTATTAATGCGCTGAGGAAAAGTTTCATCGGATAAGCCAATTAGCGTGCCCAGTGGTTAATTTTTCCGAGATTACGTTTTCCGATTAAATTATAGATACATCCGATGAAATTTGATTGAAAAACCGATCACATTTTCCCTCAGATATATCCGTTTGTTATTATGTAACTGGATTATCCGATTATATTTAATCGGGCATTTTTCTCAGTGTGAGTTTGGCGCGGCAGGTCCTTCGACGCAAACTAATAAAATCTTACGTGTGCCCTGAAAACAATTTTCATCGGTTAAACCAATTAAATAGCGTGTCGGACGGTTAATTTTTCCGATTAAATTATGGATACTTGTAAAGAAATTGATCCGATGAAGTTTGATTGAAAAATCGATCACATTTTTCATCGGATATACCCGTTTGTTATTATGCAATTGGATTATCCGATTATATTCAATCGAACTTTTTCTCAATGTGTGGTCAATGTACACACATTGCGGATACTGGCGTAGATAAATTTATCTGCTTATTTTTAACGACCTCGGCTCTTGTCCTCTCGCATTATAACGATCCGATCAGACGTGATGTAACACGTGTAAAAGAACAAACGTGTGTACAGTCGTTAAGTAAAATGTTAAGTGTCGCGATGAGATAAGCTTCCACGTATTCGATAGAAATTCCGAAATCGTTATGTCGTTCGCTCCTCCCCTCCCGAAATGACCAATGATGTATCTTCACCTATTATTATCGACAAAGGACAACAAAACTATCTGATGGATTTTATCTCCGTTATCCGTCTATTTATTCCGCTGTTTGCCCGTAAAAAATTCAGACTTTCAGTAAATTTAGCGAGAGGTATAAATGTAGAAAGATTGATGGAATAAATAGCATTCCGCTTGGTTTGTTGGAGCTATCATGCAGTAATTGGAGCAATTTGAGTTGTTGAATACTACGAGATACAAAATCGCGAAACATGCTTTGAATCGTGGAATCAAAATCGTCGTAAACACATCAGAGATGAATGAACTGGGATCATTGTCGTCTGGGATGGATCCTTTTAAGGTAGAAGTAGTGCATTTGATCGTTCGGGTACTGTACAATATTTGCGTATGAAGCTGTTCAATAATTACTCACGAGTCGCGTGGAAGCACCTGGGGCTTTCTTGAATTTATTCGAAAGAGAAACGTATGCGAGAATCCTGCTCTCGCAGCAAAATTGAAAGTTAATTGGCTAAAAGCCACACGAATAGCCGATCGACTTGCAACTTTTCTGTAAGAGCAGAATTTTCGAATACGTTTCTCCTTCGAATGAATTCAAGAATCGAGTCCCAGGGAAACATTAATCCAGGAAGGATATGCATCGAAAGACGTTCCTTCGAAAGCTTTCATCGCGATAAATCTTGATTGATCCTAATTTTCTTTGAATCATTAATTCAGTTTTCTAGCCTATAAGAAAGAGAGGCATCTCAAATGGAACAAAATACAAAGAGTTGAAAAGAGACTGTTTTCTTTCTCGATGAATTAGAAGTCAACAATTTATTTGTAACAATTCAAAGTGGGTCGTTTTAAATTTTAAATTTTGACATTCTATTTCTTATCAATTAATGTCGAATAAAGCACGTTTTGTTGTTTTTGGTAATTGATCAGTTGTCACTATTGGTCCAGCGTCATTATATCTGGTTGTTTGCAGGATGTCATCCTAATGTTATCAATATTGTTCATAAATTTTGAAAAAATTTCTTTTAATAAATACATTAATTTACTTATTACAATATTAATATGGCGACCGAGAGAAGTGCGTTTTTCTAAAGAACTAAGAATCCAAATTGAAATCTAACCAATTAACATTATAATTTTACGTTTTGTGCAAAATATTTCAGAGATCCGAATAAAGAAATGTCAGAAATGTCATCTTGACGTAAAAATGACGACAAGTGACGTCAGCTGGCTACTTAGGATATTAGATTTTAATATATCTTTTTTTTAATACAATACACATATTTTAATTTAATAATTTAATAGTTTAATTTAGTAATTTAAATTTTAAAAAATTAATAATTGAAATATATGTATAAAATCTATGACGTATGAGAACTTAATAAATGGAATTCTCATTCTGGAATATATGATGCGAATTATACGTCGTCCAAAGCTCACTTTAGATAATCTATAATTTGCGGTAAATCTCAAGATAGAGATCTGACGCGTTTCTGTCTAGAAGTTTTTTTTATAAAACCGTCTAAAGTGAGCTTAAAGTGAACTTGTTGATCGATACGATATGCATCAATTGTTCGTTTTCTCCTTACTGAGTAAAAAAACGACGCGGAGCAATCTCGTGTACAAGTGGTAGAAACTGTTTTGTACACGCATAGTAGTATCGTACGATATCAAGTGATTCTGATAGCGCAATTGTCCTGCGATTTTTATAAGCCTTGAAGTATATATTGTAGTGTAAATCAAATTAAGAGATTTGTATTTGTATTTGTTTATCATTGCTTTTATCGTATTGAAAGACTCGAAATAACCCTTTAAAGAAAAATCGTTTTTTACGTTTAAATAAACAAATAAATAAATGAATAAATATAACCAATTATGGTCGAATGTGAAGAGAATACTCG